AGATATAAGCCCCAAGTCAGTTAATGTACAATTGGCCCAGAGAGCTCCACTGCATCTAGAACCTGGGGACAAGACATTCTATAAGAAATCTAGCCACTGCCCAGTGTGCCCAAACCCATAACTGCACAACTATTTATAGTTGTATGCCTGCCAAAGCCTGGTGCACAGCGAATCCAGGAACCTTTTTAATATGCGGGACACACGCCTACAGGTGCCTACCAGCCAATTGGACACATAATTTCACTTTAGCCTTCCTTACCCCTCAGATGGACATAATACCTAATAACCAGAGCCTTCCTATACACCGGACGGCCCATACTTGTTCAAAACGGGCCATCCGACTCATATCACTACTCATTGGGCTGGGGGTAGCAACTGGAGTAGCACAGGTATATGAGAAAGAGCCTCATCATCCTGCTATTACCAGCAGTTATCTGCTGAGGTCCCTGAAAACTTAAAAAATAGCTGTATCCTTAATGACGCTACAAAACCAGTTAGACTCCCTATCGGCAACAGTCCCAAAGAACAGGAGGAGTTTAGACTTGCTTACTGCTGAAAAGGGGGGACTTCATCTCTTCCTAAATGAGGGATGCTATTTTTATGTAAATCAATCAGGAATTATCAGAAATATGGTCCAACAACTATGAAACTGAGCTGAATGCAGGAATCAGGAATTAGCAAATTCCTGAACACAATGAAATAACCTCTGGAGTTGGGCCTCCTGGCTCCTCCCCCTAGCAGGCCTCCTCCTTATGATCCTTCTAAGCACTACTATTTGGCCCCTGCATCCTTAACCTCATTATCCATTTTGTCAGAGTCACCAAGGCTACAGCTACTGGCTATTCAGTACAGGCCCCTGGACTAGGAAGAGCACCATGGTGAGTAAGGGGCAGCACTCTAAAGGTTGATGCTCACTACAGATGTTAAAAAGAGCATCAGAACGGGGGTATGAGGTGGGAAGCCCCATGAAAAAGACTGGCAGGGCCCCTGGGCAGGACTGCTACTCTCATACCAGCATCATCCATTTCCCTGGCCCAGTAGCATTATCTCGCTTTTTGCTTCTGAAACGGCTTACATCTAGGAAAGTAGAACTTACCCCTAGTATTGTATTGGTTCCCTGAGCTAACTCCTGATCGGTCCATTTGTAGTGCTTCATTTGTATGACGCTCACTCCTGATTGGTCCATTTCTGTCACTCCTGACTGGTCCATTTCTACAAAGCTCGGTCCAAATTAGTCAACTTTTGCTACACCTTATTTGCATATGATGTTGCAAAGTGTTGACTGGCAGCCTATAAAAGCCTGTGTAAACTTACAGATGGGGTCCAGAGCAAGGAGTGTGAACTCCTCTGGGCCCACTGGCATAATAAACCTGAGTTCTCCAACCCTCTGAGTGCTGCTTGACTCTCGCTTGGATCCAGGTTGCTGTCACAACTGAGCTGTAATACTGAGCTGTAACACACTTTGCTGCAACATTGCAGGAGCTTCCAGAAATAGTCTAGCTGTGTTGACCCAGGTGGACTTGGCCTTAACCCGGTTTATTGCCCACACTGGGCTTGAATGACCTTCTAAAGATAGATCTTAGCAAGCAGCTTCTTCCACATCTTAGTTCCTTTACTCTCAGCACAGAAGCCCAAAGCCTGTGTGCAGCCCAGAGTCACATGCTGTAGCCTGGGGTCACATGAGGGCAGAGCTGGAGGCCAGGCTCAAGGATACCTGGGAGCAGGACGTGCAGGGGCTGGGAAAGTGAAACACGGAAGGACAGAAATTCAACACAAGGCTGACTTCTTGATTTCGTCACTCATGTTGGGGATGGAGTCTGCCAGGACCTTCTGAGGAGCCTGCGTGGAGTGGCCTCAGATCCACCCTGTCCAGGGAGGAAAGAAATAAGCAACTGAATGCTGCTCTCCCCCAGCCCCCAGGCCTGCTCTACTGGGCACAGACACTCTGTGTTTCCAAGGGTGGAGCATGTG